AAGCGCCTCCTTGCGCCCAGGTCACTGGCCCAGCCTACAAACCCAAAACGGTGGCTCTTGCCACCACCAAAGCATGATCTGGGTTCAGGTCCGTGGTATATCGCGGCCCGGCTACGTCGTCGACGGGGGGTTTTCAACGTCCAGCCTAGATACTGCCTGCTGCTTTTTGCAGACAGGCAGATGGGTTGATGCGTGTGGACAATCGCCAGCCAAAGAACCGCAGATCCTGCAGCTACACCTCAAATGCAGCAAGGGAAGCGCTGCCGTTGCACAGTGTCAATCTGGTAACGATGTCAGCTCAAATTGATTGGTGGAAACCCTGCATGGATGCATTCCCCTGTGCTGTTGGCTACTTAATATCTGTGTGGCCTGTGATGCTTCACGCTGTCTCCCTTGGATGAAAACCTGAGGCCTGGTGCTTGCTTATTACTGGGTGCATAGGGGTTGGTGCAAACTAAGAGTGCACGGTCGTAAGCGCAGTCCAAGCAAGTCAATTATATTTGTACTGCCTCAGTATAATTGTAATGTGTGTGTGTAATTGACAGCAAGGCCAAAGCGGACGCTAGAACATCTGCACAGATGTTTCAAGTGTTGTGCTGCTGCCATGTCATCACAGACACTGACACTCGCGTAGCACTCCCCCTTGCCAGGAGTGCTGGCTGCTGGACAAGTACCATGCTCTGTTTACGCCCCTGAATGTGCCACCCACATGGCCACCAACCTGCTAATCAACAAACGTGCATGACATATCACCTGTACTTGCTCCCAGCCAATCAAACCCCCACGAAAAGTTATCACGGTGTGGTGGTGGCGAGAGCCACCGTTTTGGGGTGTGGTTTGCGTGTGCGCCCAGCGAGGGGCATCACAGCAGCTGCGGGCGGGAGGCCGCTTAACCACCGAAGCCGTAGAGGGTGCGGCCCTGACGCTTGAGCGCGTAGACGACGTCCATGGCCGTCACGGTCTTGCGGCGCGCGTGCTCGGTGTAGGTCACGGCGTCGCGCACCACGTTTTCAAGGAACACCTTGAGCACGCCACGGGTCTCCTCGTAGATGAGGCCGCTGATGCGCTTGACACCGCCCCTGGAGAAGAGAGTTGAAAGGTGGGTGAGTATGGGAGGGTGAGGGCAAATTGCAGCGGGCAGCAGCACAACCACAGGCGTCAGCTGCACCAAGTCAACATCGCAACACAGCGCTGCCCCAACCCCAACCCACCAACCCTGGCATCACCATGCCTCACACCTGCGGGCCAGGCGGCGGATGGCGGGCTTGGTGATGCCCTGGATGTTGTCGCGCAGCACCTTGCGGTGGCGCTTGGCGCCACCCTTGCCGAGGCCCTTGCCGCCCTTGCCGCGTCCAGACATGCCTGCTGGGTGTTGTTGAGTTGGGTGTGCTGTGCCGAAGCAGTGAGTGTTGTGGCTGGCCCAGGGCGAACAGACGGCTTTTGAAGGACGCCGTGGAGCAACGAACGAGCCCAGCTTCGTGCTGCCTTCGCGCCCCTGAGCCAGCTACCCGCGAGCTTCGTCCTCTGCCGCCTGAGCGAGGGAAGGCATATGGAAGCTGGATTTGCTCGCACGATGTTGATAAGCATCGCCGTTGCTTGGTGCCAGCTCACAAGCAACCTCCAGTACTCTCTGCTCACCGCTTCGAGAAGCAACAACAGCATCAGCCACCATGGCCCGCACCAAGCAGACTGCCCGCAAGTCCACCGGCGGCAAGGCGCCCCGCAAGCAGCTGGCCACCAAGGTGCGCAGCGGTGATGCTGTGAGGCCAGCGGGCTATGGGCCGGAGCCGGGCGGGTGGTTTGGAAAAGCGCTGTTGTGGAGCAGCAGCGCTGCTGCACACCAAGGCATCGACACGCCTGCTGCATTTCACATCATCACCTCTCTCAAACCCCCCCTCTATTGCAACCCCCCTC